ATCTTTACTCGGCTGCTCGAAACTCAATCTCGACGACACATCGAGGCGAAATACTCCTTCGCTCTTCTCTCTTTCTCTTCTTTTCTAATCTTAATGCGTGGACGTCTGTTTCTGCACAGCGAGGTGTAGTGAGGTATCGCCTTGTTGTTGTTCTTTTTCTTCGAAGCCTTCATCGCGGGCTTAGATCCGATACTTAATGTTACTTTCGCGCGTGTCCACTCTCTCGCTCGGTAACGCTCCGAGCGAGAGTGCACTCATAAACGGAGGGCTACTTTCATTCTATCGGAATGATCAGCATGTGTGTGACCACCTTATCCTTCTCCTCCGCCGACAATTCCTCGTCGTACGAGAATCGTCCTTTCGTTCGTTCGCCGTGCATTAATACTACGTATGTTTAGTCTCTCCTTATTACAACACCCTGCAATGAAAACATTTCTATGCCCAACCAAATGAGCGACCACGTCATGTTGTGGTCGCTCTCGTACAGACTGACCTAGTAGTTTCCCTCCACGACCTCCCCCTAATGCGACAGACAACAGTCTGATGACGCGACGGGCGTCTCCTAATCTTACAAACGTCGTCCAGCAAGTATCAAAGTCGTTCCGCAGACGCGATCCTCAGTCGAGAGGCCTCGAGAACGTGAGCTTACATGACCCTATGGAGCTCGTGAGTATCCCTTATCGACTCGCACACCTCTCGTCGTCGTCGTCGTCGTCGTCGTCGTCGTCGTCGTCGTCGTCGTCGTCGTCGTCGTCGTCGTCGTCGTCGTCGTCGTCGTCGTCGTCGTCGGCGTCGTCGTCGGCGTCGTCGTCGTCGTCGTCGTCGTCATCGTCGTCATCGTCGTTGGCGGCGGACGCGGCTGCGCCATGTCCGCGGCAGAAACGGTCGCCGCGCGAATCTCCTTCCCTTCCTTACATGGACAGGCTCGGCGAGGGCTCTCTTGCGTAGGACGCGACGAGCCCGAGGTTCCCAGCGGTCCTGCGGACCTGCTCGAGGGCGTGTTATACCCAGGAGTCGCCAGCGGCGGCGGCGGCGGTCGAGTTGGGCGGCATGTTCGTCACCGTGGCGGCGGCGGACGCGTTGCCGTCCGGCACCCCGACGCCGTCCGGCATCCATTGACCCACCGTGGGTCCTCCACCGCCACCGCCGCCGCCGCCGCCGCCGCCAACTCCACCTCCACCGCCGCCGCCCGGTCCGGTCACACCGCCGCCGCCGCTGCCGGGTATCGCGCCGCCACCGGTTTGACCCTGGCCCACCCCCAGCTCGTACTGCCGCTTCTTTTTCTTCTCCAAGTTAACTTGCGCGTAGAGCGGCTCACCGGGTTTCGGCTGCTGCAACACACACACAAGCCAACGGTTAGCACAAGCCCCTGGCAAGAAGCGTCGTCGGCCGGCCACATCGCGGCTGCGGTCGTCGGGGGGTGGGCGAGGGGGGAGTAGCGCGCGGATGGGTATCGCCGTCGCCGGGCGGTTCTGAAAGAATTCTGGTCAGCTTCGGGGGTGTTGCGTGCAGGTGTACTCTCGATTACGACAAGTGCGCTGCTGACCAAGGTGTGACGTGGACGAGTGAGGTGCCGGTGCCGCGAAGACGAGAAGCTGGTTCTTGATGCGATAGCAAGGCGCGAGAGTGTGTGCGCACGCTGGCGAAGGGAAACCAATGTCCATTTCTTGGAGGTCGAAGTCCTCGAACTGTCTCCTTGAATGTTTTCCGAATTCATGAGGATATTTTTGAGATTTCGATTGCGTGTGTTCGTTAAATTTACGAATGATTCCGGAATTTACGAGAATGTGTGTTCCTTGAACGTACAAGAGCACGCAGAATCTGGAAATTCACAAACGTGCACCTTGTTTTTCTTATCGCCATGACAGGTAGATCGATGTAGCCGACATTTGTCACACTCCGAACTGCCTGAAGAAACGGACGTTGGTCTCTCCTTTTCCAAGACACCGCCGCAAGTACACAGCATCCAATAAGAGTATGCTCGCGCAACGAGCAGACGCTATATCGTGGACACATAAATCACCATGATTCCCAATCGAGTCAAGATAGCGCGCGTATTGACCGTATCGCTCGATTATTCACGCGTCTCCCTCCGCCGGGAGGGATAATAATACTCCTCCGGATAATCGAGAGTACACCGCCGACGATCCAGAGGCAAGACCACGTTGGAGGTGTGATATGTTTGGCCTTTATTTGCATTTTAGTTCAGGTATACGGCTATCTAATATACATATCTTCAAATAATCCTTCGTTTGTTACACACTGCGCTTTTTAAAGTCGGCTAAATACAGAATATAAATACTTCGACGTGAGGTGAATAACTGCATACTCGAGTTTACGCGTGAGATACAAGGACGCACGTGAGAGAGATACATCGTGTGTGCTATAAAATATATAGTATATAAATCCGTGTAGGGGTAGTTGTTGTTGTTGTTGTTGTTGTTATTGTGGTAGTGGTAGTGGGTGATGGCGATGTGATGGGATATAAATAGAAAAAAAAAGTTCCACGTTAATAAATACGTAATAATTCTCCTCATGGTCTCTCGTTACAATGAGATCTTTTATTGTTGACGTCCAATTTGTATCACTCGACAATAGTCACACACGCAATCGATGAATTGAAAAGTCAAAACTCGATTCTACGTTATTATTCTAATACGCTTCTAATACGAATGCTCGTGGGACGTTTTATTAGAGATAATAAGGCTGTGTGTATGTATATGTGTGTGTGTGTGTGTGTGTGTGCGCGCGCGCGCGTGTATACGAGAGTAATAATAGTGTGATACTAATTATTCCGAAGATCGTTCACGATTCTACATATCCCACCTTTCTCCCTCTTATCGGCGTGCTGTAGCGTGTGAATAATAATCGTATTTCATACTCATTGCGATCGTGTACAGTTTGTAAAGTTTCGACAATCGTTCTCTCTCGTGTCTAAGCTTATATACAAAATCGGGAGTACAATAAGGACTATAATTTATGTAATAATTTATGTAGAAAAAGACGCGTTACATTCCGCCGTACAAACAGAGTGCAAGTATAAACTCAACGTCGGGTTGCTGAAGAATCTCGTGGGGTAGAGGAGAAAAACGAAGTTCGCTTTCTTCTTTTTCTTCTTCGTCTCTTCTCTTTCTGTTTAGCTCGATACAAAAAGTGCCTCGTCGATTCGTGACGATCAATCGGTACACGAAATCATCCTTTCGGATTAGAAGCTAACAAAGTAACTAATACGTTATCGTTAGAGAGCACGTACGAAAAGAGTGTTCGTTAGGCAGTGATTTCGTCAGCTAGAGCTTCTCCTTATCGTAATATATTGTGCGTTTCCTCAGAGACAAGAGTGTGAGTGTATGTATATATGTACGTGTATAAAACGAGTACTTCTTCGTTTAGAGTACCTAGATAATTTTCGATACAATACTGCGGTGCATTCCTACAGTCTCTTCTACAAACGTGCGCGCGAGACATCTCTCTTGCCTTTCGCGATTCATTCGATCAACGTTGGAAAAGTGTTATGAAAACCGTGCAAAAGGTAGTATTCGGTTAGGATAATTAGTTTCGATAGTAATTAGTGCCTATGCGCGGTGTGTGTATGTTTGTTCGTTAAAAAGATTGATTGAAAGGTCGATTGGTCCAGTCTGGTGCAGCAACTTCCTCGGTGTGAATTCTAGTACATGTGGTCTCTCTAGGTGTGTATGTGTGTGTGTGTGTGTGTGTGTGTGTGAATTCTCTCGCACAATCAATCAGGACGATTCCACTAAAAAAATGTCAGACGCATCGTTACAGTAATACGTTGAGACTACGATCCTTCGTCCTCTAGTCGTTACAATTCTCATCTTATACTCGTTTCTCTGCATGTCTAGTAATATAATACTCTCGCAAAATTCGAGGAAAATGTGCGATTTATCCTGCGCATTTTGGAAGTGAAACAAAAAGAACCTTTTCTCTTGTTTCTCGTTCCGGAGGAGAGAAAATATCCCTCTGCGCAAAAAAAACCTTGTCGCGTTTATAAGCTACAGGTATATAATAAAAGATACTAGAGATGTGCAAGTCACCTGAATTCGAATCGAATCGAATCGGATATAAGATTTTGAGTTCGAATTCTTGCTGTTTGAATCTCTGAACTGCTTGAAGATTTCGAATTGTGGAAATTAAGGTCAGGTTCGATTCCTGGCTGAGGCGATATTTTCGCAACTCTTACAAAGAATTAATCAACGATTAAATAAGTAGAAAAGGATAAGGAGTGCAGTCCTGTGATACTAATAATTATAATTCAGGGTAGTTTTCGACGCGGGAAGTTGACTCACCATATAATTAAAAGTCAATTCGCAACAATATGCACGCTCCTACACGCCATGTCGTCAATTATATTATTAATTAAAAACCAAGTTTCGATGATTCGATTCGATTCGATGCAGGAAATCGTGAACTCGCACATCTCTAAAAGATATCAACTAAAACGGAAGACACAGTCGTCGTCGCAGATATAGATCACACTCGATCGAATTGTACTTGTTGTAGTGCTTGTGACGCAAAATTACACAATGGCTACTGCGTGGACGATCGTACTAAATGGTCGCGAAGCGACTCACTCATTCCTTCGTCGTTTTTGGCACATTCGATCGTGCCGATGATTTTCTTTCTTATTCCTTTCTTTTCTTAAGTCGTTCTAGGTAACTACTCCAACAATCGCGTCCGAATCGCACTTCGCGAGGCTAAGTAAAAAGTTAAACGCGATACAAACGTTAATTGGTGTACGATCGATTCGGTGTATTCGAGGTAGTCTACTTATAAAGTCGACTTTCGAGGTCCTACGTGCTGTGACGACGCGAAGATCGCGACTTCGCGCGATCACAGGCCTATAATGGCAACGAATAATCGAGATAGACGAGATTAGACGGAATTCGTCGGTCTTAAGGACAGAGTTTCACAGGATTCAATTTTCCAGTTTTTGGATTTTAACCGACGTTGCACAAAACGTGATACACGCGCGGATCCAATTTGGGAACCGAGTCTTCCTAGACGCGAATTTTCTAAAGCCTCTATCTTTGTCAGTAAAGTTATCTTTCCTTCTACATGGGAAAAGAATCTCAATTCGCGTGGCAGAATGGAGAACGCTAACGAGAAGTAACATCTTTGTCTAAACATCCGGAAACGCGAACGTGACGTCCAAAGACGTCCAATTTTTTAACTCCATGAGCCTTAATAGTTGAAAAGATTTTTTTAAACTCGCAGCGAGGAGCTCAGTGGACAGTTTGTCGCTATTAAGCAATTTTTCGCACACTGTTTCTGGCACAATGAATGCAAGTGTCTCTTCAATTACGAGGAAGATGAGTGAGAACGATCGACCGAATAGAAATCTCCTGCGCGGAAGCTTCTATTCTTTCCGCTTCTACAAACGAGTTCTCCTCAAATAACAGGGAATCGTTACACGAATTGAGATTTTCTTCCCTTTTTTTTTATTTCCGTATAGTCGACGAATTTTGTCCTTAAGACCGGCAATTCGAGTTGCATCGTACAAGGTGCACACGCGCGTTTCTTTCCACCTAAAGTATCCGACGTGGGTATACTTCTCTCGATATTCCTACGGTCCGCGTCTACGCGTTGTATGTATGCTGTGTGTTTTGTGTGTGTATCTCTTAGAGCTGTTAGTTGTTATTACTTACTGATTGATATATAGTAGGTCGACCGACATTATTCGAGTTCATGTTCGCTCGCTGGATCGTTCGATCTTCGTATCTTGTGCTGCCCTGGCTTGCCATCGGCCGGTTGAGAGTGCTGCAATCATAGCTGCGATTCAACGTAGAATCGAGTCGCCCGGTAAGACGCGACGGACTCCGCGTGAACGTCGGGGATTGAATCTCGCGCGAGGGGAAAAACGAACGAAATGAACGAAAAGATAAGCGGAGTCCCAAACATAAAACGACAAACGAAACATCGTAAATTCAGAGAAAGATTCTCTCTTGGGGAACAAAGCAAAGTTATCGACGCGATGACACAATGACTCGTGATGCTTCCTTGATCGATTTACACACGGAGACACATTCGTGCCGCGATGTCAACGTTTGATATAAAATATCGCGACGATTAGATTCCTCTGAGAATTCACGGAGAGACAACAAAGTCCCTCGAATTAATTGGAAATAGGATTTTACGATCCAGTTGTACAATCGTTTCAATTATTTTGCGAAAGAGTCGTTTAGCTTTGAATATGAAATGGTCCTCCGTCTTTATCCCTTTCTCTCTTTCTTGAAAGAGAGAGAGAGAGAGAGGGAGAAACGATTATGATTCGCGGAAAACATACGACATGCGTGCCACCGTATGTAAATCCAACTTATTGCTCCATTTATGCGAACGACGTTTACCTGTTAGCGTTGTTGGGTGAATTAGGCCCTGAATTCCTGGCGGCGACGGTTTTCGTGACGAAGTCCTGTTCCTTCCAGCCATGCTTCTTATACACGTCTCGCAGTTCTTGATGCTGCCACATGGTGAACAGTACTTGTCCTAAAAATATTACGTTCGTGGTGAAGCGTGAGGCGCAGCCGGGAGTTGGCGTAATGCAATACGGTAATCAATTTTGTATTAAAATTGAGATGTCACAATTAGATAATTTCTGGACTAGAGAATATAAAGAGCGAGCGCGGAAATGTATATCAGTTATGACACACGTTGCGCAGTCGTGACAACAATACCTCATTGGCGCTGTATATATCTACGAAATTTTGTTCGAATTTTTCTGTATGATGTTCTTGTCTAAGAAATTGATAATATAATTGACTGCTCTGTTAAAATGATACGATGTAGTAATCGGCGTGCAGACGATGCATTTACACCGGTCTAAACTCGCGCCTGGAGTTACCTGCAAATTTCAGAACACGCGGCGTATATTTCTGGCGTTGCCTGGTAATGTTCATTAGTCTGTCGACACCGCCGGCATCGAGCAATGACCGCGAGAACTCGGCGTTCTTCTTGATGACCTCATTCAGAGTCGCGAGCACCGCGGCGATCGTGTCGTCGCTCGTGCCCTGATCGTGCTGATTATTTCCAGACGGTAGTTTTTGGATGAGATCCCTCATCGCATATTTGCCTATTAGCTCCTTGTTGCGTTGGTCTATCGCCAAGTTCCTCAGCGCGGTCGCGACCGCGCAGACCACTCGGTCCACCTGGCCGGAAAAAGCGTCGTGTCAAGTGAATCTTAAATTATACGCTACCTACACGTTTCGATGAAATATGCATAATCGGATGACACCCAGAGCTGGCGAGATTTAGTAGAAAGTTTCGTATGAACGAAACGTACCAAAATATAAAGCACAACTGAATATCGGGGATCTCATCTCTCATAAATATGTATAAATATTTTTCCACGTAGGATATTGAATATCATATTGTCATTAAATTATCACGCTCCAATACAGTATTTATAACACACACGGTATGATGATGATAATTTGACGATACATATGATGTAAAAATGCACGAGAGAATGAGATCAACTGAAATATGACTTTGTAAATCATACATATAATTCTCGTATTTCAAAATAATTTAAATAATAATTCGAGGATCCGAAAGAGAGAGAGAGAGAGAGAGAGAGAGAGAGAAAGAGAGAGAGAGAGAGAGAGATACAAGAGTATGTCTTTACCTCCATCCTCAGGAGCTCCACCAATATCGGGAGTCCTTTCTCCTTGCGAACGGCCGCGCGAATTTCGATGCTTGGCTGCCAGTAACAGGCCGCGAGGTTCTGCAGAGCCCCGGCCGCGGCCTCGAGCGTTTCCGGATTCGAGCAGGTTTGCAGGAGACTGAGGTATGACTGTACCACTTCCGGTTGCCAAAGCAATTCCATTCCCCTGACTGGCTCGGTGCGCGGACTCGTCGTACGTGACGTGGTCGTTTCCTTCTGGACCGGTTGGCCGTCTTTCTTCTTCTTACTGCCGCCGAAACAGCCTAGATTCTCGCCTAAAGCAGAACAACGGGAGATTCGTATTAGCGAGACAAAAGAAGATCCGTGCCGACGAGCAACGAGAAAAGTTTCGCGCCGACGAAATCGCGAAGCCGCGTGTCGGACGTTGCTACTTTCTGAATTTTTCAGAGACAATTTGTCAGAGTCTTAATTTACGTTTCCCAAGAATCGAGCCGCGCTCGTTTCGCGATATTATGCTCGCAATACGCGATATGTGTCGCAACAGCATTGTAGAGAGCCAATATTGAACAATAGTGATCGACATTTCGTGAAAAGTCTCAGAAGATGGTGTGCTTGTATGTACCTAGAAGCCGCCCATTACACCTCTATGAGCTTCTATCTAGCTAGTTCGCTACATCAAATCAGCTATATATAAATATATATAGATTTATCTACGCAACGAACGAAACTGTGAACGAAACTGTAAACTATGTATTTGCCATACTTTGCGACAAGCTCGTTTTATATTCGATTTCATTGAAAATCGATCGTCGGCCAATTCTCCTGCATTGGTCTTTAGCGCAAAATAGACAGTCTATGCGGAAGTATATTGATCGTTGCTCGAAAAAAGGAACATAGCGATTACTTTAAACTGGAAACGAAAGAAAAAAAGAAAGAGAGATAAAGAGAAAGAAACGAACATATATATATATATATATATATATATATATACACACACATATATATATATATATACGTAATACAATTCTCAATGGGAAAAGTATAAACTCAGAAAAAGAGAGATAACACAGGTCAGCTGCCGTACAATTTGGCAAAAAAGCGAGGCATGCAGTATATAGCCATATATATATATATATATATATATATACACACATATCGTCGGACGGAAACTAATTTATCAATGGAATTGCAAGAGGGTCTTACCTTGACATAAACTGTATGCTAAAAAGATTGAAACACAGTTTAATTCATGCTGAACTAGGATTCCTAAAAAATCGGTAAAATTCGTGAGAAACTCAAGTCCGAGAACGAAAGCCAGGGGATCTTTCCGCGATTTAGGGGACACGTAACTTGTAACTAACTATCATCGGTCAACCAAAAGAGGGGCAACCTAAGAAAAAGATACAGACAGAGAGAAATGCGAGATGTGTACGAGGTGTAGACTCGTCGTCTATTTCCGGGGAGACGCTTTACATGAACATCCATTCGCACGGGGAAACGATAAAGAGTGCAAATGAATCAATGGGAAACGAGAGACGATGTGCAATGAAAAGTGAAAAAAAAAAAACAGAAGAAGAAGAAAACAGTGAAAGAGAATTCCGCTCAATCGAGATGCGAGATCGTCTAACGACTCTATTCTCGATCGCGGCGCGCGTTGCGCCATCGCCGCACTTTCAAGTGCGTTATACCCACAGCTTCCGGTTTGCGATACAAATCATCCGACTCCGGCAAACCGGTCCGGAAGTTTCGATCAAATTTAATACGGCTACATGAACTAACTATCTATAACTACGCCAACTACTTGGTAATAAAATATCAGCCGCTGCGTGTACATCCGTGAAACTTGAGCGGCAGAATTAACCGTAATTAATACCCAAACCAATATTGACTATTCACGCGATATATATTTATATTTATATATATATATATATATATATAAATATATATCGCGAGGAGGATTACACGTCAGAGTAGAATACATACGCAACACATATGTGTGCTTTCGACGGAAAAGCCTCTCGATTTTTTGTTCGGGCATGAAGACAACTGGGGATGTTCTCGCGTACAAATTTCACGGGTTGGCTTCGACGAGTTTCGACAAAGTGAAATAATCGGCTGAGCTTATCGCGACGAGTCGCGCATTTAACGGCCATGTATATACATTGTAATTTCACACAATAGCTGGAAAAGTGCCTGCAGCGGCGGGCAGCTGCGTGTGTTGTTCTCTGTGATCTAATTTCATGGTCGGTTTAAGGGGTGAATCATTTACCCTCCACATTTGCCCCTCCCGATCTTCGCGTACGCACGTACACACACGCACACACGATACGAGTGCATTTACATGCACACCGGGGGCGATGCGTGCATATTGCAGGGAAAACATATTCGTCCCGAAAGCATCGCTCGAGATATTTCTCTCTCCCCCCGTTTCTTTCTCACCGCGATTTATTTTTCATCGTTTCGTGGTGCGCGTCTGTTGACATGTACGCTTGTTTCTCCCAACGCGAAGAATTCAGCGCGATAACTTACCGACAACTTATTATCTTCGCGCTCGGCATTATAATATTAAATTGTCATTTTTGTTTAACCTCTTTAATCATGTGTTCATAATTTTTAATATCAATCGCACTCATGGCAGGGAGAAATTCGCGCTTTCCGTCTCCCCGTGACTCGCACATAAACTCTCTCACACGATGCTTTTAAATCCATGCGTCCTTCACGCGTTTACAAATTGTTTTCACTAATCATCATCTACATTCGCGAATCGCGCAAAAATAAAATCAAGGACAGAGAACCAAAACGAAATAACAAGAGCGAAGAAACTGTCTCTCAACCGGATCCGATAGAGAATCAGGTTGGATTTAAATTAAAATAAAATACGCCGCAACGAAGAAATGAGCAAGCGCGCGATATTGGCGAGCGCGAGGTTTGCTTCAGCGAGTCTTTCTCGGTCGAGCTAGATGTATAAATGAAAACCAAATTAGATTTAAAGCAAACCCGTTCTCAAATTCTCCCTCTGCGATTCTCAGAAAAGAACGATCACCTCGTTGTCGCGTTGAATCCTTCACACACGCGCGCGCGCGCGCACACACACACACACACACACACACACACACACACACACACACACACACACACACACACACACACACACACACACACACACACACGCACGCACGCACGCACGCACACGCACACGCGCGCGCGCACACACACACACACACACACACGAATACACTCACACGCGTCGGAAACTTGACTCCAAAGTACCACATTAAATCCCTCTCTCCCGGCCCTCCCCCGCCTCACCTTTCGCGGGTGCAGCGACCCTGTTCTGCACCGTGGACTGGATAGGGTGTTTGTCGTAGTTAGGGTCCTCTACTTCTTGGCAACGGTAGCTCAAGTTCCTCAAGATGCACACGCAGTTCTCCACGATTTTGTTGCCGATGTTGGACTTCTCGATCGCTGAGCGCACCACGTAGAGCAGCGCGTCGACCAGGCCGTCGCATTCGCGCAGGTTCTTCCGCGCGTACTCGCCGGCGCTGGACACGTTTCTCAGGACGCCGGATGCGTTCCTGAAGACCGTGGACCAACAAGTCTCGCCGCTGGACGAGCTCGGGTCCCAGCCGCTGTGAGGTATTATTATGTTGTTCACCACCATCGTCACGCCGTCGTCGATGATCGACCTCTTGAGATCCTGAAACCGCACGCGTGTGTGTCCGAGTTAGCGACCGAGAAGGTCTTTTCGGTCTCCGTTCATTGACACGTCGACTGCTGTGCCGTGCCGATCGCGACGTACGCCTGATTGAACTCTGTACCGTTTAACCTTGTGGCACCGATCAGACGTTGTGATCAATCTGTTAATTTTTTACGTATCACCAACAGCGTGCCTTACACACAGCTTATCCTATTTAGTTGATTGAATATCGGCGAGCTTTATCATTATTTCGCAACTAATTTGGAACAATCAATTGCATACAACAAATTAAGCACATAACCACTATGAGATGAAACGAGCTCTGGCGAAAACACGGTTCGTAAATTACATTTAACTTTGATGATTGAAACTTTAATCAAGCACTGAAACGACCAATGGAAATCAGCGCGGAGCAGTCGGCGTGTTAACCAGGATCGACCTGGTTAATTCCTGTTAACTCCGAAGTTAACAGGAATCCCGTTTTCCTCCTTCCGCTTCTGGAAAGCGATCATGAATCTCTTCCTCCAAGGTGATCTCGTGAGAAGAGTGAACGCTCCTAACGCTATTAAATTAGAAGATTGTCACTTTCCACGGGTTGGCGCTGGAGAAAGAAATTTATGATCACAAATTTTTCTCCCTCTAGTGCGAACTCGCGAAGAGAGCGGAACGTTCCCGACGCTTCCAAGTTGAAAAATCGTCACTTGTCACGAGTTCACGTTGGAGAAGGAGAAGGAGATTTCCACGATCGACCACCCGCGAGACTCACTTCGCACGAGGATAGGTTCCACAACACCCCCGTAACCAGTTCCTTTATGTCCGCGTCGGACGTCCGTCGCAGCAGGTTGATGAGGGCGGGCACGCCGCCGGCGTTCTTGATGGCACGCTTGTTCTCATCATTCTGCCGGCCGTACGACAGGTTGCGCAGGGCGCCGCATGCGTTCCTGTACACCTCGAGGTTGTCGTGGTCCAACAGCTGCACCAGCGGCGGTATGCCACCGAGGCTACGCGTCTTCTGCTTGTTCGGGTCGTCCATGTAGCAGAGGTGCTGGAGGTACGCGGCCGCGTTCGCTTTGATTATGTTGTTGGGGTTGCTTAGAAAACCGATCACCTCGGACAGGTTGGGGTCGCGCCAACGCAGAGACTTCTGGTCGTCGTCCAACGGGCTGGCCATGCCCGGCACCACCGGGTGACGAGACTGCAACCGTTGCAGGTGCACCTCGTCCTCGAAGATGCCGGGCGGCACCCCCGACGGCAACGGTACCGGATGGCCCTCCTCGTAGCCTGGCACGTCGCTGGGTACCGGGCCCACCCCGACGGCTGGTCCATAACCCACCGGTCCATAAGGCGACGGCGACACATATCCGTAGGCCACTTTGCCCTCGTCTGAAAGAGAGAGAGAGAGAGAGGGGGGAACGCGCATTACACACGTGTGCCAATTCATGTTGATTGCTGCGATCTGCAGCAGCCTTTGATTTCGCCCAGCCAGTCTAGTGTCGTCTCTGTCGGACGAAAGCGGAAACGCATAATTCACTTAGGCTTATCTGCGACTTATCGCTCACGTTATCGCTTATTCATTTGCGTTATCGCCGCTTATCTCGCTCTGATGCGATTTAGAAGGATGAGCGCGTCGTCCATCGCGCGCATCGGCTTATTCTTCGCTTGGCAGTTTTGTACCTGTTTTATTTGTATTGAGCTAATTTATACGTGCGTTAATTGTTGTTAGTTTGATTATTAATCCTGTTACGTCTATCAGACATGGGTATATTTTCTGCTGTGTAAAGATATATTTTTATTCCGATTCTAACGGAATTCCGATGTGCAATTAATTTACACGTATGTTAATTACTAAGCGTCCGTTTGAGAATTTTATTATTAATTTGATACACACGTATTTTTTTGCTGTATAAAGTTAATTTTTCACTCGATAACGAAGCAAATGATCGAACGCGGACAGATGGCCCCCAATTAAGATGGCATCGCAAAACTGACAAATGTGATTTTACGACGAGAAATTAAATATTCGCGTTACGCTCAACCAGATTTTACACAACATTCGTGACAGAATGGAAACGCTAATTCGATCGCGTTTAATGGAATATGGATAGCTTTTAATAAATCACGTGTAGTTATTAAATAATACAGCAACGCGCGAGGAAATTCCGCGAATACCGACCCGGATCACTCATGAATTCACACTTCGACGCTCGAGAGGAAGCGTTTAAAAGACGCATGAGAGTGAAAGAGAAAAACGGATAGACCAGAGTAGAGTTGAGTAGAATAGAGTAGAGTAGAGTAGAGTAGAGTAGAGTAGAGTAGAGAAAGAGAAAGAGAGAGAGAGAGACACAGACAGACAGACAGAAAGAGTAAAAGGACAGAGAGGCAAGTTAGATAAATGGTGGATGTAGCCCTACCATGAGGATGTTGAGAGGGTTCGCCGGAGTCATCCATATTCCACGAGTTGCTGATTCGATCTAGAGTGAACATAAAATAACAACGAATGTCAGACAGCGAGATAATCGAAGTGAATTATGCGGTGTCCCGCGCGAGACGCGATAACACGCGCGCGTTTTTGACAGTTTTACACCATGACGTGAATCTAATTCGCGAAATCCCGTAAAAAAAATATACCGCGTCAAACGGCGTGCATACGCGTGCCGCGCTCGTCGGAGACGAGAGTCGTCGTTGATGAAAACTGAAATCGGTCGGCGGCTCGGCGGAAAACGCGCGCCGGCCGAGGAAACGGAGACGGCTCGCACTTGTTGGATTTTATTTATCGGTCGCCGCTGCTGCTACCCACCATACTGATCTCCGGGACCACCTGGACTCGGAGTAATGCGATAATGGTCCTGCAAAGCGGGATTTAAGCCGGGATCGATGTCGTTGTAGCCGCCTTCCACGTAGGGCGCACCCTTGCGCATGTACTCTGCGGAAAGGAAATCACACGTTTATTTTATCGCCGCGGCAGACACCTCACCTCGGCGCCGGGGAGTTACGCGACTCTCAGTCTCGCCTCTGAGCTCTCCCTGTCGTCCGAGTATCGGCCCATTAATCGTTTTTCAGTCAACTCCACCAAGCTACGAAGGATTGCATTTATCACGACGAGTCTATTGCACGAAGAGAGAGATTCTATCTTGCGCGAGGAGGAAATCTCGAAATTAAATTGAGATCTCACGACGAAAAGGAGGAGACGGCGGTGGAAATTTCAATTCTGAGATTGAACTACGAAATATATATGTAGGATAACACGTATAATTGTTTCTTTATTATTTTAATTAACGATTTCGATCTATTTGGCACCCCCGTTGTTATTACGAGATATCATCGCGAAAAGGGGCCGATAATTCCGCTCATCTGTCCCACTTTTCTCTGACGATTGGAGAGAGAAAAAAAGAGAAATGAAATCGATTCTCTCTGCCCGGGCGGTACGCTAAAAGTCAATTTCGACGAGTCAGGTTTAGCCGCGCATATTCCCGAATTCCTGAAGAAACAAGATTGGATCGGTCCGGCCAGCTGTCGGAAGCTAATCAACGAGTCATTATGAAAGATTACTATTCCATCGGGCGGTGTCACATTAGCGCGACACTCAGCGCGACCTGAATCCCCAAATTTTTCCCGTCACAAAACATTCGGAATACAACACTCCGGCCGAGAAATTCGAGTCTTCTCTCCCTCTCGGCGAGAGAGACATAATTACGTTTGCCGAGTAAACGACGGGGAGCGCGAGGCGCTTCGTTTAAGAATTCTCGCGGACTCTTTCCGCGCGGAGAAAATCGCGAGGGAGGCTCTCTCTCTCTCTCTCTCTCTCTCTCTCTCTCTTCCAGTCGAGCGGAGCCGATCGGGAAATTCGTCTCCACGCGGACGTGCAAGTTACGAGTAACACAGCGGTAACAAAAGGATAACAATACAAATTATTACGCGAGTCACCCTCCCTCGCGTCGCTAAATGCCGCAGAAACGGACGTGTGAGGGAAAGAGAGACGAACAGACAGACAGGCAGGTAGAGGAGAGCGCACCGCCGACTCGCGGCGTTTACATACCGTGTGGCGGCGAAGCACGACTGTGTTCCGACGGGCTGTGGGGGCTGTGGGGGGAATGCGAGCGCGGCATGTAAATACCGTGAGGTCCTGGATATCCCGGCTGCGGCGCGTAGCTCAGGTACGGATCGTAATGGTCGAAAGTGACCATGTACGGGTCCGCGGGGTAGCGCGGGTCCGCGTGCTGGTAATCTTGCGACATCAACGGCACCGACATGTAACTGACCGCGCCCGGATCCGGCTCCATGTGGGAAACCTCGCGCACGACTTTCGTCACAGTCGTCACCTGGGGAAGCGACCAATAGCGGATAGTAGCAGTAGCAGTATAGCAGCAACGGTAGTCTAGTCGTCGCACTCGCCACGTCGCGTGATATCTCTCTTTCTCTCTCTCTCTCTCTCTCTCTCTCTCTCTCTCTCTCTCTCTCTCTCTCTCTCTCTCTCTCTCGCTCTCTCGCTCGCTCACTCGCTCGCTCGCATGCACATGCAAACACACTCGCGTCTTCAGCGGGATCTTCTCCCCGTCGTGATGATGCGGTACACGTAATGACACGCGATACGTGGCGTCCTCGCGAGTGTATTAACGCAATTACCGATGACTCGTGGATCTCGCGTAACCGCGGCGTTCGTCAGAAGTTCCAGCCAAGCCGCGTCTTCAAAGTTCCGCGACTTTGTGGATTTTCCTGCGCGAGTCCCGCGTCAAAGGAGCGTGCCCGGCGAGAGAGAAAGATACCGCGCGCGCGGCGTTTCTGAGTGCGGGACTTCTTAATTAAGAAGTCACACATTTACTTACACATATAATTAGCATATATAATTAGATAATTTGTACATATAGCTGGATAAGTGGATACGGTGTAATCAGGAGATCAGTAGGACGAAATGTGATGACACGCGCGCGCGCGCGCCGACGCTCGCGAAACGAGAGTCATTAGCGCGCAATTACTGGGACTTTGATTGTTGGTACAAAGTGCCGCTAAAAATCGCACGTTTCCACGTTGCTTTTACAACTGCCGACATATCCTGCGTATAAATCCGCGTTATTTTTTCGTTATTAATTTATCGCTGCAAATTTACGTTACTACGCTACGTAACTAGTGAAATGTTTATCGTCGGGGTAAAATGTCGTAAAAAATTCAACGTTCCCAAAGTTGCATCTGCGACTGACACGGATAACTTAATAATCCCGCGTGGTGAATTTCCGCTGATCTTTTTGCCAATAATTGCTCGAACGATTTATAAATTTCTTGTCGCGCTTACTGGAACGTCGATCGTCGCTGCAGGTTACCGTTAAAAAACCAATGTTTCAGGACTGTCATTTTCACGACTGTCACACGCGCGAGATCAATTCGACAATCGCGCCTGCTCGCGAGTCTTGTTTCGCTGATTGTTTCGTTGATTTGGCGCGCGCAAATATATCGCTTGACGAACGAAAAAGGAAAAGCGGCTCGCGGGCGGAAAGTACGGCCAGGCAGGAAATTTTGAAATCTCACTTGCTGAGAAGTTTGTTGCTTGTGCGTCCGGATGAGCAGCGGATCCTCCTGAACGGACAGATGAGACGAGTGCAGCGAGTGGGTGTCCGCCTGTCCGTTACTTCCATGGTAATCCGTGTCGCCCTGTCCGCTGCAGATGAATCAGAGATAGAAATGAGGATCAACGGAGATAAAGGTATACGACGGGCGATATCTCGAAAATTACTGTGTCAATAGCAGAGAAGATAAGAGGGCGCTTACGTGTATTGTGGCATGTCGGGGGCTTTCTCCTGTAGGACGCGTCTGAAAAAGAATCGTTTCCCTTTGAGAGCGAGAGAGAGAGAGAGAGAGAGAGAGAGAGAGAGAGAGAGAGAGAGAGAGAGAGAGAGAGAGAGAGAGAAAGCCGGTCGTATATATCTTACATATTTCTCTCTAAAAAAATATATATTCTTCAACAAATCTGTCTCTACAAAATATACACTCTTTATTTCTAAAAAAGAGGGGAGGTGGAAGATGGAGAAAAGAGCAGCTGGTGGAGAGGGGGGAGAGAGAGAGAGAGAGAGCTTTGCAAAAATAAGTGCGTCGCGCGACACGACACGCGCTCCCACGGAGGGCTGTTAGGTTTCGTCGCCTCGTTGCGCCTTGCGATCGGAGAGGAAAAGGGAGAAAAACGTGGGCAAGACGCAGCACGCGTGACGACGCGCGGTGATTTCCCGAAACAAATCGCGGAACTTTCGCGCGTAAATTCGCCGATCAATTCGGAGCTTACGACGCCGGCGGACGCGAAAATTGGATTGGACGTCGGGATTTTTAAATCCCGACGTGAAGTATCGGCCTTTAACGCTCTGACGATTGAATCTCTAATTCTCCCGGCGCTTCTCCCCTTTCCTTCTTTCGCAAATATCACGCGAGATTAAGTGACGGGCCGGCGGACGGGCGGGGGGGAGCTCGTTATTCATTTTCACTCCGGAAACGCAATCATTCGGTGCTTTATTATCCGTCCGCTTATGATTCAAATCACCTTACCCTCTTTCCTCCCCACCGTCTCGGATGTATCTTGGACGGGGGAGGAGGGAAAACGGAGAAGGGGGGTGAGAGGGAGAGAGAGAGAGAGAGAGAAAGAGGAGGGAACCGACTTGGAATTGGTCAAAGAACGCGTTGCGCATGCAAATGATATGTAAACCGCGCGGAAACAATTTGACAGGCGAATGGCGCGTCACGAGCGACGTCTCGCGATTAACGTATAATGGAAAGCAAACTTCGGCCGTCGGGGTAACTATAAACGACGAGAACAAAATGATGAAGCACAGCCGCACGGCGCGACACTCAAACACGCTCGCACGCGCCGCGGAGGAACGAACGCAACAACAACAACAATAACAACAACAATAACAACACCACAGCAGTAGCAACGCGGACTAAGCTCGACGATGATCTCGCGGAGAATGCCGCTAATTGCAGCGACTATTCTTCCCGCTGTGTCGTCATCGTTTCGTTTACGTACGGACACATACGCGCGCACACACACACACACACACACACACACACAGGCATGCTAAATGATTGCGCAAACATGCGTGTCGATGCGGCGGAGTTACTCATTCCGAAAGAGTTACGTGCGTTTGCTCGCGCGATCTGGCGCGTTGTCGCGTAGAAACTCGCGCTTTCGGAAAATTTTGCGAGTTCCAACCGACGTCGTCGGTGAATTTGTCGTTCGTCAGGACGATTGGCGAGTGAGAATACCGACTTGGCGACGCGACGCGAACTTTTGTTTTTTTTTTTCAATTTTATTCGAATCTCTTTAATCCTTCTAGGCGCAGAAACGAGAGAGACGCGCCTCGTCGATGCTTCATGATCTCGCTGAAATGTATTCCGCGAGTTTTCGGTTTATTTATATACGTGCGCGCACGCGCGCGTACGTGAATATCGCTGTTTATACATTACGATTGGATTAATTGGACGAAATACGCGGCCGCGGACGTGAAATCGATAAGATTAATCTCTCGTGCGCCGCCACGGTCTCGGAATGACTAACCGCATGATTAATGCATGTTAATCACCTCTGCGTGATCTCAGTGCGAGTTATGTTGCGCTCCTGTCTCTGCTCGATCCGACGGTTCACCAGCCTAATAGTTGATCAATTCGCAAAATTATCAATCAAACGCACAACCTCACGCCTAAGGAACGCCCATTGCAAGCGTGAGTTGTAACTGTCTTTTTCGCTCAGGTCAGAAAATAATCATCGTTGCGCGTCGTTGTCGTCTCCTTTCTCCCTCGTCCCTGTTGTACGTCTCTTCTCTCGCGTCCCTCCTCATTTTTTTTCTTTCTCTCGTTTTCTCATTATTATTTCTTCTCTTACTTCGCGCTCTTTTTTGTTCCTTTTTGCCGGAACTTTTTAACTCTCAATTATTGAATACCTCGCGAAGTCTCTTAAATTCAGATTCTGTTAAGGCAAAGTTCACTCGGAATCCACGGGGGAAATAAGACCTTGTTATCTGTTTGTAGCCCTGCAGTTTAACGCGCGCACGCCGAAACCTTTTAATCTTCCGTGTTAAGTAACTCCGTAATTATATCTGAATTATCGCAAAAGGAAAGTCGACGTCAAAGTCGTGGAAGAATGAAGGCCGAAGTTTACTCGCGAGTCCTGTACGAGAGAGAGAGAGAGAGAGAGAGAGAGAGAGAGAGAGAGAGAGAGAGAGAGAGAGAGAGAGAGAGAGAGGAGAGCCCGTAAATTACGAGGCGGAGAGTATTTTCTCCGAGTGGAACACGAAGAAAGGAACACTCGAAACACGTGGGATCAGAGCGTTGCGTTAAAGAATGTCGATAACGGATGAGCGAGATAATGACATGATGATTTCGGAGAGAATGGTAAATGACACGATATGAGATATGAGATATGCGATACACGACACAACACGTGAGTTACGTGAGTCTCGTGTCACGCACAACGACTGGAGAAGCTGAAGAATGCGAGACAGAGAAAAAGAGAGAGAGAGAGAGAGAGAGAGAGAGAGAGAAAGATTCCGGCTGCGATACCGATGATTGAAGTTCTAACATTCGAAGTTTAACATAGAGAAAGACACTTACAGACAGGAGTCAACCAGCTGATTATTTGACATACCAGCTGATTTGTGTCTCTCGCTCCCGGGCAGTGGATGATGTCCCCTGAAAACATGAAAAGAAATTTTTTTCCTGAGTGAACGTGTCACAAAAAGGTCACATCTACGATCTCCCTCTATTCGAGTTTTTTTCTCTTTTATCTTGTACGTGTACGCTTTGAGTCTATATCATCTTATCGATAGGTATTTTATCTATTATATGTGTACCTTTAGGCACACATCGCGATTTCATCAGCCGAGAAAAGAAGTCTTAGATAAGTACAGCGCGTATAAAGAAAAAAAGGGGCCGGACCGCGGCTCTTCTTTTGTGGGTAGATTCGGGATCGAATCGCGATTGCATTTAGTGTTGAAAAAAATCGAGATTATGAGTTGTTTCCATCGCGTATTCTATCGTATATTTATCGTATCGTATATTTATCATTGGCCATCAATGTTCTCTTGCGGTATTCGCGAATTATGAACGCCGGGTGATCTGTCCGCAACCGTTTTGCTATTTGATCGCCGGTGCGGGCGACTTTTTCCGAGAGAGGAGAAAGAGAGATGATGAAGCTTCGCAGAAAGAACTTATTTTCATTATCATTTCGGATTCGTTTCCCTTCCTTTTCCGCGACGAGTCCTGTGTCCGGCAGGACGCGCCGCATCGCACGCTGTGACACTCCTCTCTGTATCTCCATCGCCGACAAAGAGGATCATTTTAATTCCGTACTTAACACGTTTGAGCCCTTCCGCGCGCCGATTAATTTCTCGCCCGAGCGCTTCTCTATCATGCTTTCCGATTTGCCGCGGATTTTCCGGCCGGCTGCGAAAACCTCGTCGTAAATTAGCACCCATTGAGAGAGCGAGGGGAACGAGAAGGAAAGAGGGGTATACCGGCACTGAAAATCGTGTCGCTGTCGAGATGATACGCGACGTTCGATCGCGGCACGCGGAAATAGACTCGAGAATAATTAAATCGAGCGACAGCGCGTTCCCTCCGTCCAAAAACAGTCTATCTACTTCGACAGAAACGAGGACGGTGTCGCGGGTGATTTTCGAGGCAGCCGAGTGAGTTTCGCCGGCGAAACTATATTATATATAACGAGAGGAATGTAATCACGATTGAATGAAAATCAGCTTCAAGTGTTGGCGAAGGAAGTCATCGCGCGAGAGGATTGCGCACTTGCGATGTCGCGTAAGATCAACTGAGAAGCATGAATAAATGAATAAATATTAAATGAAGCAGGGATCGATGGCGCGTCCCCGTAGCGTTTAGTCCATAATAAAAATAAAGGAGGAAAAAGAAGAGCAAGTCTCTCTCGCGGAAACGGCAGAGTCAATCGGCGGAAACGGCGCACGAGCTCATGTTACGCGACAGAGAGAAAGAGGAAACAAGTGGCAAGGGTGGGAGCGGGAGGAGAGAGCGAGAGAGAGAGAGAGAGAGTGGTGGTACCGGGACGATAATTAATTTATGCCCCAAATGCTTTATTAATGAGCACACTTGATTGCCAACAGAACGAACGAACGAACGAACGAACGAACGAACGAACGAACGAACGAACGAATGAACGCTCGGGCGAGCGCCGCCGCGGAGGTGGAAAAATAACGAATTCCCCGTTATTTCGGTGATCGTTCGCAACGAGTGTTGCGCATTAGCGAATTTGGTGTAAACTCGCGATTAATAACGCGTTAATTTTACGAGCGAACGGCGGCGCTTCGCAGTCCGGAGCCGTTGAGCATCCTCCTGTTTTCCCGTGTTTCTCTTTCCCTCCTCGCCGTCATCCTCTCTCTCTCTCTCTCTCTCTCTCTCTCTCTCTCTCTCTCTCTCTCTCTCTCTCTCTCTCTGTCGCTCTCTCTCTCCGTCTCGCGATTATCGTCGCGCTTTCTTTGCGCTTCAGCCCGGCGCTCTTTGCAATTTACAACTTGCTCAATACACTTTCGCGCGTTACGGTCCCCTCGGACGATTATTTAATTATTAACGATAATCTGCACGAGTTACCGCAGATATTGCAATTGTCGTGCGTCGATGTTCGCGCAAACGCGGGACACTTAAAAATTCATTAAGTCATTACGACGGGAGAGAGATCGCGGATTATGAAGGCGCGCTCGCAAAGGCGCACAAAGGGCGCACGCTCCGCTGCGACAATTCACGTTGAATTAATAAAACGTCGAAGCATTGCGGAGACGCTCGTTGTACATACACACACGTATATACAAAATGTATGCATGAAATCGCACGAATACGTACATTTGACCGGAAGCGGAAACGGAAAGGGACACAGGGAGTAGGAAGACAGCAGGGAAGCGGGGAGAGAAAAATTGTATATCGACGCGGCCTGCGGAGCGTTACCGTAAAATCACAATGCGGAAATTTAATATATATCCCGAAAAAGTATTAATTACACGAATAAATGACACGGCGCGTTCGAAGAGAGAGAGAGAGAGAGAGAGAGAGAGAGAGAGAGAGAGAGAGAGAAAGGCAAAAGGGAAGGGGAAAAGAGCGAAGGGGTGAAGATTTCGCGTCCGCGATGTGTCCCGTAACGCGACTTGCCCGCGGAACAATTGAACCGTTAATTACATGCGAATATATATATGGCGGCGGTAATGTAAAATTACTATTAACCGCGTTGGCGCTGCTATAGTGATAGAAAAGCAATTACCGTCGCATTCGGACGATAATGAGGGACAACGTACAATATGGCGGTCGGAGGAGGACGACTCGGAAAATACATACAGGGTGTGTCCGGGTGGTAAACGATGCTTGTTAAATTGTTTCAAGAAGGCGTTTGTCGCTTCTTCTTTCTTTCAGTCGTAATGTCCGAAACGAAACGCGTTTCTCGGTTTGTAGGCACTTTTTTGCTTCTTGCATAATTTCACGGATAACTCGTCGATGATCGATTCGCGCGCGGCAGCCGCGGATTCGATTATCACGACGTACAATTTATCCGCCGCGAAAAAGGCATTTCTGTTACACTTGAAACGATATATAATAGGAGATAACGTACGGAGTTGGCAAACAACGGCTCTGGGAAATGGACAGCCGTCTGGACGACCTCGTCCTTAATTTATTTAGGACCCGCCACGTGTTCCTTCGCGCGTTCGTGCATGGATGAAAGTTGACGTATCGCTGGGAACTTATCAACATTATCCCCAAAGCCCGAGAAGAGCAGCGCTCTCTCGATAATATCGCAGTGAAGGAAAATGATGTTTGATGTCGCGCTACGTTTCATATTTAAAATATATTTCACATCTAAAATATATCGTATCTGTATTAAGGCACAATATGATCTTGTACGAAACACTGCGAAAGAACTTGTTTCCTCCGGCCTCCCCGTAACATTTCCGCATTTTACGTCCACGTTCAGGAAGAGCAGAACGTGTCGAGCAGCGAAGAAACCACCGTCCAAAATTTCCATCGCCCGCCCGATAATCTGCTTCGTGCGCGATCGCGATTTTCGTTGCGCTCGGAAATCCGACGATTTTGCTTCCATTCGGTAATCCGCTTCGCATTGATAATTCTCGCGGCATTCGACTTCGAACAATGCGACGCGACGTAGCCTACCGTGCTATTCTCTAATAGTCGCCCGGCGGATTGGATTCTTTTTTACATGCGTCACAGTAAGCGCGCGAGTTTGCCTCCTTCGCGGCCAAGCGAGAGGATCATCAACCAGTGACGTACTCGAAATTGGAGGATCTTTCCGAACGATGTAGCAGTCTGAACGCGTTTCGCGGTCTCTTTGAAACCTCCGGTCGTTTGTCTTTCTCCACGAGTTTCGTCAATGAATTGAAGTTGATTCGATCGACGAACTGTGTTTGACAACCTGTTCGCTTCGCCTCGAAGAATAGCCTGATTAGCGCGTGGTGCGCTGTTGATGAAGAACCTCTTTTTCTTCTTCCATACTGAGGAGAAGCGTTTGATATATTTGTGATGATGATTACACAATGAAAATTACAAGGGTGGTGGTAACAACTTGATATGCATTATCACTACTATCGTTATACTTAGTAGGCGGAACATCAGAGGGTTGCGATAATTTTAGTGTGAATGTATTTTCTCCCGGCGTATATATACTTTGGCGTTTTTTTGAACACTAATGAAATCCTTGACGAACTTCGAACACTGATTAGGCCCGTGACAATTAGTACCTTCGGATCGTACCTACGTTTAATAAGTACCTATGTTTAATTGTTTAATTGTTTAATAAGTGCCTCGTCTCGGTCTCCTTCGAGAGAGCGTCTGCGGCGTCTGAGGTCTGAGGTGGGAAATTGCGTAATGCAATTGGATCTGTTTTCGCGATCGCCAAGGCGACGGTTTCTCCTCGGCGAGTTAGGCTCTCGTAGTTCCTTCGCTCGACCTTCCCACGTGGGCAATTTCGCGACACCGGTCACGTGGTCCGCAACTTTTTCATTGAGTTCGCATCGACTGGTCAGAGACGCTCGAGGTGAGTTAAATCCGCGACGCGACTTGCCCTCGCCGCGTGCTTTCCTCGTTGAGCTCGCGCGTATATTAACGATCAATATACCTCCAACTCTCGCGGTTACTCAGGACAAATTGCATTGCTATTGCTAATTAATCAGGCATATTTGCACACTGATCGATTCGTGTACGCTTAAACGGAGATTTACGTATTAATCGCGATTGCGGGAAAAATGAGTAATCGCCTGGCCACTAGACTGTGCATTATGCATCCGTCCGTGTGCGTTGTCGGTGGCGAGATCGTCGCGACTGATATTTTCCAGATCGCGTTATCGCCCAAGGTTCTCGCCGTGCCGGGGACTCGCGCGATGAAAATGCAAAATCGACCCGGTCACCGCAGAAATAGCTCGCGACTCGTCGACGACGTATTTCAAGCTAATTCCGGCACACTCCGCGTTTTCCTCCGCGTATTTCCCTCTTTCTTTTACTTTCACGGGAGCGCGCTCTCTCTTTCTCTCTCTCTCTCTCTCGCTGCTTTATCATCCCGTTCTTTTCTCACCGCGACCACACACAGTCGCAACACGGCAACAATTAAGTCTCATGAGCGCGCGCGCGCGCCGGTATACATATTGCGATTAGAAATTAGAATTTTT